TCTGTTTACGGAAGGAAGCCTGAAGCGTGAGGGAGTATAATGGTGAGCTCATGAAGCTCGGATAGAGATGTCTACAAGAAGGCGAACTTAATGGGATTAGATGGGCTATCATAGTGATCAAAGTGTCTGTTCAATTTGGAACATAAATTGAATCTTGTACCACAAAGTCTTTTCCTTCCTATATATTTCCTTATCATTGCTGAGCACTGGCTGAAAGGTCTGATACGATGCCAAACTTCTTCTCGGTGCTATCCTCACCTGCTGGGATATCGTGTACCTGGAGAACTCCGCTGTTCCGTTCTTTGAGACGTCGGTCGCCAGGTGGAATTGTTTTGTGGACTCTGCTCCCGAAGTTGCGTTATTCTGAACAGTGTCGCAAATGGACTCAAGTGCTGCCGCGGCATTGCTGTTTCACCCTGATGTGTGTATAAAAAGAACGTCGTAGCGAGTTTTTTCAAGTATCCATGAAACGACGGGAGTCAGAGCCGTCCTGAATCAATAGGTGGCCAAAAGCCAGATTTTCAAACCTGGCATTGGAGGCTGATGAACCGTTGAGTCCCATTGGTGTGTTGTAGTTGTAGTAATAGAACCCATTCGGTGTGAGGAACCCGGTGTTTCACGATCTGAAGGTTAGATTGGTATGCCTCAAAGTCTGCGCGAGGCATCTGCTTGAGAGAATACTCGTGGTTGACCACAGTATATGGAAAGCATGACTGCTTCCAAGTTGTGGCTGGGTACGCTGATTTCTTCGTCATCCCGTTAAGCAGCTGGTAACCATTCTCAGTTGTAGCACATAATCTGGTTGCGGGTTATCTAATTTCAGAATCCAATGCGTGTTCGCTCCCCAGACTCACGATCCTCGCCTGATCAGTCCGTTGCGTTCCGTTGGAGGGGGGAACTCTTTGGCTGCCAAGGTGTCGCGTTTGCTGTATATTCTCGGGTTGACTTGTATGGGTTTCGCGTAGACCTCGAGTTCAGTTCTGTACTTTATCAGACTGGTGTCGAGTTTGTCCGCGATGTTCGGTCCATGAGCCCGACTTGTCGCGCAGTTTCGGTTCGGTGTCGATCTCTTCTCTCGCGTTGATGATTCGGCATTTGGGAGGAGTCCCGTCAGTCGGTGGTTTAGTGTGGGTTTCGCTCTTTGGAGTAAGGTGATTTAACGCCTGTGGCCTGCGGCAGCTTCGGTGGTGGTGAACAGGTTTCGGTTTGCTGGTGTTGTGGTTCTAAGGAGTCGCTCTTTATCGCGTCTGGTGTTAGCTCAGCCTCCGCGCGCTCCAGGACCGGTGGAAGAGGTTTGAGCTCTGTGTTTATGCGTAAAGGCAAAGAAAATCTTGGATAGTGAAAATCGAAATGTGTATGATCAGCGACGTTTGCGGCGATTGCCGTGTGCGCCAAGCCAGCGCGGCCGAATGATGTTTTCGTGATGTTGTTGGAGGAAGGTTCTTCCGCTTGAACTTAGGCCTGATAGCGGGGTAGTTTAGCGATCTCATCTCACGCTGCACTCTGGCGGCGCATTGCGCCTAAACATGCTTTTCTGAATGCATCACAAAATTTTCACTCGCATGGGAAGATAAACAAAACAAGCTTCCTGGTTTTCTTGGTTTGATACTTGACTATTTACTTTATGGATTCTCCTGTATGAGTTGAATCCCTAGGTTGCTATTCCGATTCCGACCACTGCATCGTTACAGCTTCACGGATGGTGGCTCCTCGTTTCCCGAAAGATGATACGCGTCTGTCGCCTGTTCAATGACATCGTAGTTCAGCCAGAATGACCTCTATCACAGCTTTAATCTCAGTTCCATCATCCAAATACATGAGTCCCTCTTCTTCTAGCTCTGCAAGGCCTTGCGGTTGATGTTGATTGCCTGGAAGTGTTTGGGTGATGGTGAGATGTCAATCAAGGCTGGTGCCCCTTTAAGCCAATAAGGTCCAGCTTCGGCTTGTCGTAATGTTCAACCGCCTTGACGCGTCTCAGCCATGGTCGGCCAACGAGGAGGTCCCAATCTTCATCACCTTTCATGACATATGCGGTCAGATGGCACATAATGTTGGCTACCACAACTTCCCCTAGACTTGCGCGACCTCATTGATTGCCAGGCAAATAGGCTCTGTGTGAGCCAGCAGGACAGGGCGCAGTCCAGATCTGTTGATGAAGTTTTCGTTGACCAGGTTGACGGCCAAGCCGCCGTTCAGCAAGATGGCATCGGTGTAGTATCCTGACAAATATTCTGCCACGTAGCCCAAGGTGTTCGGCACTGCCTCCTCCGGAGCGGCTGTGTCTTTGTAGGTCACCAGATACCCAGACATTCCGGAGTTTGCCAGACCGTAGCATCCTGATCTCCTCCGCGAGCTTCCTCCTCAAGCTCAGCGCTGAGTTCCGGTTCCAGTAGTTCTCTGAAGAGTGCTAGCATGTTCACCGGTGCTTCTTTGCTCTTAGTCGTTTTCGCTCTTAGTCGGCATTGCATGAGTCTCGCTAACTGTTGGCGGATGGACGGAGCGATCTGTAGCAGCTGTAACTCGCTGATGGTGATCGTTTGCTCTTTCAACTGCTGTCCAATCTCGAAGTCGGGCACTTGACACTCATAAGTTACTCTGATCTTCTCCAAGATATGGCTTGACGTTTTCTCCGTGGTGAGAACCGCCTTCCCAACTCCGTTCTGCAAGTTTAATCTTCCCAGGTGATGTTGTAAGTGCGGTAGCAGCCTCTCGAATTCTTCTTCTGAGATGTTTTGTGCCATCCTCACGTCTATGTGTTGAGGGCCCGGAGGTAGAGGCTGTTCCTCCTCCCTCAACTCAATGGCCCTCAGCTGCAGGGCGTCGGCGGGTGTTCCTCTGGTGGTGTGATCAGTCACCTCCTCTGCTTGTCGTAGAGCTTCGATGGCTAGAACTTTGAGTCGATCGCCGTCCACGAACGCTGTCTTCTTCTTGCCCTTGTTCTTGTCAGCTCCCCTATCGTTCTTGCCCTTCGGCTCATTCTTGTTTGTTGCACGCGCGGCTACGTTCACCATCAGTTGGTCTGCGGGAGCCGCTGTCGTCTGTCAGAATCGTCTGTCGGAAGGTTGAGTTTACTGCAGGGTGAACGCGCGCCAATGCCTCCCAGCCAGAGCTGCCAACCATGGGGCGTTCCTCACCTGGAAACCAGGGCCTTGAGTAATCCTCGCCAGGCATCGCTTCAGGTCGGCTCTCGCCCGGCAATCAAGGCTTGGAGTAGTCGGCCTCTACACGCGTGAAGCCCGTCCCGTCGTAGCGCAGCATTGTGTTTAGAGCAAATTGCTCAGGGGGAGTCAGTCGAAAGCCGGCCGGTGGTCGAGGCATCACCTATCCCATCATAGTGATCTTTGCCGTTGTCATCGGCGCTCGTCTGTTCAATTGCGCTGTTATCTCAGTATACGATCTTTCCTTGTTCCAGTTGAAGTGTCTGGCATTGTGTCGTTGTACTTCCTCATCCTTCTCTTTTGAGCATCGTCATGTCCCGCTGCCTTGTCTGGTTGTCCTCTTCCCCGAAAGCCTTCAGAGGTTCCGATGCCGCTCCATGGTGATCCCAAATGATATTTCGCACCTCATCGAAAGTGAGAGTTGGATCTACGAGATGTTGTCCCACTTGGCCGTTGTGCAGAGCCTATTCTGGACTCTTTCTTGCAGGCACTTCTTCTTGTTGCCGTCATTCATGTGGAGAACGAAACACGTCAGCACAGTTTGCCGAAAGTTTGGTGGTATTCGGTGGTAGGTTTGCCGGTGCATTCTATAAAAGTTTGCAGTGACTCATATTTGTTTCGGGCGAGTTGATGAGCCTCAGCTATTAGAGCGTCGTCCTCTGCTGTGTTCGGCTTGCTGAACTTCTCCTCAAACAAGGGGATGATATCTTTCAAGGTTTTGTCTCCAAGCCTCTCTTCTTCAAACAATTGAAGCGCGTGTCCCTTCAGGTAGCCGCGGAAAGTTTGTAACAGAAAGGTGTTTTGGAGTTCGACTTGCTCAAGGGGCTCCAAACCTGGATTCTCACGCTCAACCACTTTCCTCACGTACGTGATGTAGATTCTCGGTTTGCATCTTCCAGCCTCCCCGAGAAGAGCATCTCAGCTCGTGTCATACTCGTTGTGCCTAGAGATGTCTCCGTCGAGGAGATACACTACACAGTTTGCTTCTCGGTGATCTCCGCAGACTCAGATGAAGATGACGTGTACGATGCCAACAAAGCAGGGTCGAAGGCCTCCTAAGGGTCTGACAGAACGTTGGCTGGTGGTTGTTCAACGTATGGTGACGATTTTGCGGATGGGGCTTCAGGGCTGGCGGACCTTGGTTTAGTAAATGAGGAGGTCTTTGCTTGTGACCTCAGCGTAACGAGAACGATTGCGAGCCGTGTCCCAACTTGGCACTCTGCTCATGAATGAGAGTCTTGTAATTTGATGAAATGTTGGTTAAGAGTGATGAGAGAGTGTAATGCAAAATTTCGTAGGAGGTGAGTGATGATGAAAGATGACGGTTCAGAGTTTGTCGAGCGGGGTTGTTCGTGGGAACCTACAGGAGCTTTCCAGTATACCAGGACAAGAGAGAATGACCATTGTAGGACTGGGGCCACAGAAATTCCGCTCACAAATTTGACCCCTACGGAGCTAGACGAGCTCGCGTCTTCACTTGTAAGTCTACTAACATCAGCAGCAAAGGCAGCTGGCTGGCCCCCGCGGAGAAGCGGAGGTTCAGCCCCCTGGTGGACAGAGGAGTGCGCCAACGCCGCGGCTGCATTCCGGGCCATCAGAAGAAGTCATCCCCTCGGCTTCAACCAGGATGTCCAGATCGCCAAAAGAGATTTTTATCGCGTGGTTCGTTGGGCGAAGTGAAAGTATTGGGGATACCTCATCGATAGCTTCTCCAGCAGTAGCGCTGTCTTCAAAGCCGTCCGGTGGTTGAAGTCTTCCGGGTCCTTCCAACCGCCTCCCCAGCAGATCGACAACACTGTATAACGAAACTCAGATGGACAAGGCGAGCGCACTCCGGGGAGCTCTACGAGAGCGCCGAACTTTAGATGACGATATTGGAGGTTCTGGCAGATGGTTGCATGTTAGCCTCACATTGGCGAATCAGATCACATTCATGGAACCCAGCCGACGATAGCCAACGCTAGGGGAAGCATGCAAGACCATGACAGGTTTAGCCTGTATGATCAACGGCGTCCCCTGGACACCAGTATCACCTCCTCGGTCGATCCCACTCCCACCAGAAGTCTTTTTGGACGAGGCACGGTATGCGACTATTCATACAGGCAATACATCCCCAGGAGCAGACAATATCACTGTGAACCTCCTCAAGGCCGCGTGGCACGTCATAGGGGCGCATGTCCGCCACTTGTTCTAAAGCTACCTCACCATAGGCCACCATCTGAAGCCGTTCAAGGAAGCAGAAGTGGTCAGGATCGCTAAACCTGGACGACGAGACCTGACAAATCCAGGGGCCTGACGACCCATCTCCTTGCTCTCCTGCCTTGGCAAAGGCTTGGAGCGGCTGATCGCACGCCGACTAGCATGGGTCGCCATCCACTATAGGGCCTTGCATTCACAGCAGGCCGGAGCGCCGCCCAAGAAGTCAGCAACAGACCTAGTGACCGCCTTGATCCACGATATTGAAGAAGCATTTGCACGCAACAAGGTGGCCACCCTGGTCGCAATGGATATCCAGGGTGCCTTTGACACCGTCATGCGCAACAAACTGGTCCTACGTCTTCGTGAACAAGGCTGGCCTAACCATTTTAGCTAGATGGGCCGGTTTTTTCATGAACGATTGACAGGCCCGCGTTGAGGTATCAAGAAATCCTCACCCCCTTTGCGCCTCTTCAGTGTGACCTGCCTCAAGGCTCGCCAGTGTCGCCAATCCTCTTTCTGCTTTACACTGAGCCAATCTATCGACTGGGTAACCCCCAGGGCCGCTTCGGCTATACAGGTGACACGGCTTTTCTTATGAGATATGCGGAAACATTAGAGAGAAGGAACGAGACAGAATTTGGGGGTCACAAGCGAAGTTTGATCGTTCGGCGGCTGGAGAAGCTCAGAAACTTGGTCCAGGAGCCTACCCGTTATTGGTCCCAAATTACGAATGAATACTACGATTTTGAGCTTCTGGAGTTCTTAAACCAGCGTCTCAACCCTGCTTCTGGCCAGGGAACCCGGTTATCGATCCATTTGCAGGCTCAAGGCAAGGCCGAAGGCGTTGATAACAGACAGTGAGAGGCTTAGAAGAAGGCTGACGAGGAACCCTCCCCTGGAGATGCTATTAAGACAGCCGAGGAAATCACTGATGTGAGGCTTTACAAGGCTAGTTCTACTGCTAGTTCAGGAGCCAGACCCATTAAGGATATTAGCGAGTATGAGGATACGGATGTAAAACTTTAGGGGCTACGTTAGGTCTAAAAGTGGGCGCAATATGTTGTATATTGGGGGCAAGAGGACATTTAGGACGGGAATCTGGTCTTTCAAACACATGCTTGGGAACTCCCTGTAGCGAGTGAGGGCCGAAATAGCAATGTTTGACATCCCGTTTCGATGATGACGTCTTTCAGTCTTGTATCATTAAACACGAACAACACAGGATGGATATACGGTTAAAAGTAACGGTTGCATAACTGCGAACGGATATATCAACTCGTCAGGGTAAAGGGTTTGGAAAAGAACCGACACCATCGACCAAATTGACGTACCTAGGCCCCTGATGAGGTTGATATGCAACAACGATGAGAGTTTCTACTGAGAGTATATCACATCATGGAAAGAAGGCCGAATAAAAGACCGTAGCCTCGAGTTCATGTGCGAGAGCAGTACACATTAATGCTGGTGACGTTGAGTTTCACAAAGTCGCAATGCAACGGACGTTAAGACATGATCATTCTGGTCGCTGGAGGCTATCAGTTGATCACGGCAGGCCACGCGAGTCCTATCCCTTATTAATGGTGTTTATGTATCTGCTAGTCCCCGATCCGATCATCATGTTATAATGTTTTGCCTATCACTGGATGCGATGAGCAACAGACCAAAATGCCACAATTTTCTAGCGCTTGTATTCCCAAGTCGTTGCATATCTGATCCCACTTGAACTCCCTTCACTGTGACACATGCGATGTCACACAGTCTGCCCTACTATGCATATTCTCTAAAAAGCCCATTGTAGGCATATGAAAACACTAACATCACCTGTCCATCCTTACTGACAAAAGTATAGTGCGCTAGCGGTCATCCTCGTTTACAAGATAGCCAGGACCTTCCGTCTAAAAGGTCTAAGATGCTGTTACTCTTCCACTCCCAAGATACACTAGGAACGGTAGCCACGTTGACGAGACCTTGTCAAAGTCGAAGAAGGTTAGATAGGGGTTAGCAGTGTGATACATGAAAAAGCATGATATTTGCCATTATCTTGACTTTATGTTGAATGAAATCTCGAGGCTTATCCCACCCTGCGACCCTATGATCGTTCAAAAACACTTCGAGTTCTCCAAAAGTCCCTTCCTACGTTCTTCGTTGATCGGTAGTCGATTCCCAGTGAGGTTGCCCTTCTATACAGCAAGAGAATCAAACAGGACCTTGAGTTCCATTGCTTTCGAGGAGATCGCGGCTATCAAGCATCCTGAAGATTCAGAATCTCTACAACAAGGAGGAGAGACAGTAAGTATTCAAACAGGCTTCGAAAACTCCGACAAAGCCGCATGTATAACCCATCTCAAGGCACCGGAAAGTCTTGTCAATATTGTTCTACTCCATCTTGAGAGACCACCGTTTGGGATAACTACCACGGAGGCTTCTTAGACTGTTTCATTTTAAGCTTGCCTAATTACTCAGGCTACAGTGATTCGGCGCAATGCTGCCTCTTCTATCGTTCAGGCTGCTTCACCGGTGTAGAAGGATCAAGTTCAGTAAGCCCTACTACCTCTACAAGCTACCATGGTGACTTATCGACCTAGCCCTGTTGTCGAAGAGAGTCCGACAACGTACTCGCCGCAAGAAAGGCCCCTAACGCGATGTCCGTGAGCATGAAAAAATGAGGACCACAGACGACAGTACCGCATCAGCATGTATCTAGCAACAATCGACCAAGATCTGCGACTCAGAGACCGGAAAATAATAGAAATGGCATCGTCATCACCACTGGCGATAGACATCAACTAATCCAACTATGTGATCTTCCCCTCATCAAAACGTCTCCCCGTAGTCGAAGAATCTCAGCTGACTCCTGCTGAACGAGTGCGGTTGCGGCCAATGAGAGGCTTGAGAACTATGCCTTTAATCTGTCAGTCAGCATCCGTAGAAGCACACCAAAGGCAAGACAGTCTTGGCGTCTTTCGAATGATACTGAACAAAGTCATCCCAGACTTGATACGGTGGTATCCACGGAACACAAGTCTTCGGTTTATGGCCATGCGCCAAGACTGGTGATGATACTACACCGAACAACTTGAACAAGAATCTCTCTTGCCCAAACTGTGGCTCATCAACAAGGTCCATCACATACAGAGCATCCAACACCTTTCATAGGTCACTCTCGCAGGCATTTAAAAGCAATACCCAGACCCAAAGCCAGCAGCAATATTTCTAACCACGAGACAACGGTATGCGAACTTAAACTCGATGCTTACCACAGATGAAGTTTAACGCAAGATCTCAGATAGAGTCAATGTCATGTACTACCTCTGCTAATTCTCCCAGTTGAGAAATTATTGACAAAGCATGTGCTGTTACATATTTGGAGAACGAACAGCGTTATCAACACTTTAATCAGGGAGAATATTGCGAATGGGCTGCATGCACCAAAGGAGAGTGAAAGTAAAACAGGAGTTGGACATTCAACGTTCATTGATACCGTGGACATGTATCCCTAATCAGACAAGTCATCTTAGGACCAATACGTCTAGAGTCGATGACTGCCTAGGCAGGATGTGATCCTGACTATGCCTGTTTTGTGAGGAAGCAAAGGGTGAAGAGACAGCGGGATGATTTAGTTGCTATTCATCCTGACAATCCATAGTAACGCGGCAACTTCTGCGAAAAGCATATTGGAGGACAAACTTCCAAACAATCCGTTGACTAGGACCTTGCAAGTACACATGAACTG